TATGCTGATCTGAATGGAACTCATTTCTAGTAAACAGCATTTTGCACCTCAAAACAATCCAATGAAAAAAATAAACCACCTCAAATGTGTATTAAATCCTCCACTCAACTTTTGATCTTCTCTTTTTATCAGATATACAATCTGCTGTAAGCTCTTAGCTGTGTGTTACAAATTGGTGCGAAGAACTTCAAATGCATGCTTTTGGAGGTTCTGTATTGGTTTCGGGTTTCAGGACCTTGCGGTATCAAGACAGCCGAGAGGATGGTGGGGTGGGAGAGGGAGACAGTAATTCCAGCCGCTCTTCTTCTTCCAACTCTCTGCTCCGCCGCTGTTGACTGGAAACAGTAAATGCGGATGACGACGACTGTAAAGCAGACAATGGCTTCCCCGTAACTCCAGCCTGCATACCGGTGAAATCGAGCGATCTGATACGGCAGTTAGGAACGGTTTGAAACGTTTACTAGGTCTCAGAGTGACATCGAGTTAGAAATCGCACCTGACTAGCTAAAAAATGTTCTGAAGCAGAGTAAAGTATGACTGCATCTGGAAAAAACATTCTAAAGAACAAATAGTAAATCTGAAGGAAGGAAGGAAGGAAGTCAAGAACTTGACAAGTTAATGGACTGTAAATGTTGTAGAGTACAGCGTCTAGCCAGGGGAATGTTGGAAGATAGATTGCGTAGGGAATGAGATTGTGACTGTGGTCCTTGACAGACTTGCTCACTGACCTGTGTGAATTTGGTAGAAAGTTGGCTTCTAAAAGTGAGGAAAGGGTTACATTATAGACGGTTACAGTAAATAGATCTAGCAGTACGGAGCGTATAAGCAGTATTGAGGAAGTACGGAATCGGAAACGAAATTGTTACTGCCTACCTCCGTTACACGACATTTAATACTGAGATTACAGGAGAATTTTCATCAAACCTAGCGGATATATCAATTTTTCGCGCAGTATACGGTCGCGGTTGCCATAATTCGGTAAAAGAATTACTACATGTAAATTCAGGAGATTGGCATTTTGATACCATACAAGGATGTACGTCTTCATACGACAGCAATAATAATAA